AGAGTATGCCACGAGTGAGCAAAGCGAACGAGTTCGAGGGGGGTTTGGGGGGGTTCTCCCCCAAGAAAATTTTGAAATGAGATTGCATTTGAAGCGTCCTGGGTCTGTTTGAAATACGAATTCGAATATGACTGTATTCACGCCTTCTATAAACTGTAAACAAAGTCAATGCTTCAGCTGGGTTATATTCGAAAACAATAACCCAGTTAATACGTGTAATGTGTGACGTCATAACGGTGGGTCGTAGTAATGGCAGACCATGATGAATATTCGAAACAATTTGGTGAGTTTTCATGTTCGAATCGTAATATAGACCTCAGAGCAGGGGTAATATCATCGAATACACCCCTTGGGTCGTTCGGGGTACAGAAAACGTTTGTGCCTAGCCCTGCGGGGTGTATTCGACGATATAATCCCTGCTTTTCGGTCTATATTTCTTAAATTCCGACTTAATCTGGACCAATTAAATGTAAATTATTAGTCATTTTCATCCAATATATTATGATTACATGAACCCGTTTTAAAATAATGGCAAGACGAAATAGGTGCTTCTTGGAAATAAAACTTGTTGGCGTCATTTTACTGGCAGCGTTTAGAGCTGTGTCATACACGTAGGCCTATATACGTCTGGATAGAGTTCATAGAGTTCCTCCGATGTAACATCCAGCGTATCAATCAATCGGTCTAAATGAAATAATCATGTTTTATCTACAGTAAAACCTGTATATCTGAACACCTGGCTTATCCGAACACCTTCCAATTTGAACACTTTTTTTCGGTCCCATTTTTTCCTCCCATTGACTCCCATGTTAAAAAAAACCTTGAAATCTGAACACCTCCTAATTTGAACAGTGAACAACCAGATTTGAAAAAGTGACCTGTCTAATCTGAACATTTTTATCAGAAATCAAATGTCTGGACATTTCAATGAAAGCCACATATTGAGTCAATGTTATAGTTGTTATTTATCTTTACAAATATACAAATGCAATCAAAGAACCAATTGTCCTAATTAACTTATTTAGTCTCAGTGACATCCCTAATTTGTGGAAAACAACAGGATGTTTTGGAAAGGTGTGAATACAGGAGTTAATTGGTTTATCCAATATTAGAAAAGAACTGAATGTTTTATTTTTGGATTAAGAGAAAGGTGTGAATCAAGAAGATAATTGATTTATCATTATTGGAAATAACCTGGATGTTTTTAATTTGGATTAAGAGAAAGGTGAGAGTCTGGGAGATAATTGGTTTATCCTTATTGTAAATTAACTGGATGTTTTTGATTTGGATTATGAACAGGTCTTAACTGTTTTATATCCCATGGGTCTGTTATGATAGCTAAGATTCAATCAGTAGATGTTTTATAATCACAAAGACAACACAGACGCCATTTGTAGACATGATTATGTCACGAGAAGGAGAAAAAATCAAACTTTGTAATATTCGCATATACATCTGACATCCTGAATGCCCTTGATATTTTGAAGGATTATGCATCACCTCGAATGAACACTCATGAAAAATTATTTTTATAATATCTACTCAAATATTGCTAATGCTAAAAGTGCCAAGAAACAAACAACAATGAAGGACTTTTTCAAGCAAAAGTAAAGCAGTGCTATATAACCATAATATGGAATAAGCCATTTGATAAGCATAAGACTTTGTATGAGACTATCATATACTTTTACAGTGTATTACAAAGTTTTTGCCAAAATATAAGAGTTATTTTTACTAAAATGATGAAATTGTTCAAAATATAAATAAAACATAGCGGCCTATTGTAGAATTAACATATCAACAACATGTATTGTTTTCTGACTTAGTATTAAGTGTTCAATATAGTGCACTGAACAATGAAAATCCCCCCCCCCCCCGACCAACAAAATCCTCGAAATTTGAACACCTGCCAATTTGAACGCTTTTGGCTGGTCCCATGGGTGATCGGATTAGACAGGTTTTACTGTACATGTAAAGTGTGATGATTGATGTAATTCATTTTCCTCAGAAAAGTAAGAACACCGAACAAAATCGAAAACGTTCGTGAATCAGTCTAAATGACAGCGAGCGCACCAGTTTTATTTGGTTATCATGTAAGTTTATGATGATGGACATAGGCCAAGGGTAAAGTAATAGTAAACCGTATATAGAAGAGACAGGTAAACAACTCTAACTTAGACCACTTGTTAAGATGGAGATTTTAACAATATTTAGTGTATTATTTTCAAAAGGCCATGGGGAGTTGATAGAAAATTGATAGTTTGTAGCTCTTACCTAAGATTGAAACTCAGTCAGATGATATAGAGTGAAAAATGCTGTCTAAAAGAGAGAATTTCTGAAAACCTGCAATTGCTTGGCAAGTTCATTAGTAAACAAGTGATCTGATTGGTCACTGCTGACCTCCCTGACCTCCACCAGTGACAATCAGTTTCAGCTTGCCAGGCAATTGTAGGTTTCCATAGTTGTTGTTTTATATGCAGTATTATATGCAGTTTTTAGATAAAGATTTGAAAAAAACCATGATATAAGTTTGAAAAACACTTTGAAGAAGATTTTGGAGAAATTTGGGAATACAATTTGATACCAGTAAGGAGAACTAGTGCCAAGACTAAAAAAATTTGAAAAATTTTCAATCTTACTTGTGGACCTGTCTCTTCTATATACAGCTTACTATTACTTTTCCCTTGGCCTATGATGATGGACAACGTAAAATGATAAAGTTAACGCTACTTATTATATCTATTTCAAAATTGCATCAACTCAATTCCGTTAAACCACAAAACAGGTGAAAGTTGGGTAAAATACGAACCTAATCATGTTATCATTCATTTGTGCCGCCATGATGATCTACACAAAAAGTACGAACATCCCAAACTCGTACGCTAACGAACGTAAAGAAGCTCGCAGCCGTACAAAAATATATGTATTTCAGAGAGAAAATTTAGATTATTACAACACAATTAAAAAACAAACAACACAGGATTAGAACAAATCATTTATTTTGTTTTTCATATATGATTGTTACTGTTACTATTATCTTACTATTTAAGATCTATCCAGTATTTTTAAAGTGCGGGGCAATTCATTATAAAAAAAATTTCCCTCAAATTTGAGAGTACGCAATGGCGTTTTTTGCATATATGACGCTACGCCATTGTGTTGGTCTTTATTAGGTTTAATTTAAAAGTCATTACTTTTGTGAAAATTTGAGATGACCCCTTGGTTTGAAAGGGTGGCAGCCTGAATCAAGTTCACTGTTTCTTGGAAAGTGGTTGTTTACATGTAAGGTCATGAGAAAGGTTAAGTTCTGGCCCAGGGGCGGATCCAGGAACCAACAAGGGGGGGCCCAAATTTCAGGTCAGATAAAAAAAACGTCCGCGCTTGCGCGGAAAAAGATTTTGAAATTTTGAGGCCCATTTTCTTCAAAATTTGGCCTGAAATTAAAAAATAAGGCCTTAAAAGGCCTAGTAATGACCAAAAAGGCCCACTTTTTGGGGGCTGAAGGCCTTGTTTGGCCCAAAAAAAATTTTGGGTCCAATTTTTTTTTTCTGGGCCCACCCAAGGGGGGGGGGGCCGGGCATTGGCATATAATTGAGGATTTGGAGATATAAAGTCTATTGGTGTTTAATTTAAACTTATTTTGGGATCTTGAACCTGACACCTCTTAATTCTTATTGTACTTTTTAATTAGTCAGATAGCTGATGAAAGGGTCTTTTTTATACTTCTCTTGGGATTTTGCACTTGGCAGTTCTTAAGAGTTTAATTGGCTTGATCTTGAACTTCTGAGGAATGTTAACATTCTTGCTGATGTATTAGTGTTATATCTTCCTTGTTTATCAGTGCTTGGATTTCAGTTTGATTGTTATTGGAGAGGTTAAGCTTTGCATATATAATCGAAACTGAACCTGTACGTATCACTCGACCATATACAAATTCATGTAGCCTTCTCATATAAATAGCCGTTCAAATCCAGTGTTTGTTTAGACTACACCATAGCGTGTAATGATTCTATAGTATGTCATTGATGCAGTTTTATAGCTGGTTTTCTAATACATATTTTAAACGAGCTCGTTTCGTAAGATTTTTGGCGCTAAATCATGCATGACATACATCATCGTGTTCAGCAAGAATTCAACTGTGCATCGAAATCAAAATTGACAGCATATAGTGTTCAATAGACACGAGTAAAATGGTTCCCGTTGACCCAACGTCAAATTTCAAATCTCCCGTCGCGAAACTCTGAAGCTGAAAGAGTATCTGAAGTAGACTAAGCGCGCATAAAACTATGAGCGCTCGATACATTCCTTTGTTAATTTTTGTACTTTGCGTTCACGGTTACGTTGTGAAAAACATCGTTAGCTTAACCTCTCAAGTATTGAGATTGCAACGTTTAGTTTTCATATGGTGTGCATGCCTGTGATTGGTTAATCTCAGATCAGCTGGAAGGAAGGTTCCAGCCTACTGTTTATCTGTCTGCTGTATCAGTTGCTTATTGTGTCTGTCAATTTGCACTTGGTTAACTCTAAGTGTTAAAGCCTCTTGTTTAGTAAAATGAAGGGACCTATGCCTAGTGTGTACAATGGTACAAGTAATTTTAAACATTATGAAATCCAGTTTCGTATCATTGCTGACTTTCATGGTTGGGATGACAAAACAAGTGCAGTTTATCTTGTTTCATTACTGCGAGTTGACGCAGTCAAGGTTCTTAGTCCTCTTCAACCTGCTGATAGGATTGACTTTGAAGTGCTTACTAGAACTTTGAGATTGTATTTTTCTCCTATTCATGATGCTCATTTCTACTGGTCAAAATTGCAAGAACGGAGTAGATTGGGTAGAAAGTCTGGTGGCATTGGATATTCAGGGTCTAGTTTGTGAGGCTTTTCCTGATTTTTCTCACTCTGAAAGGCAAAGATATTCTGTTGATTACTTTCTTGATTCCTTGAAATCTGATATTGACTTGGCCTGGTTTGTGAAACAGAGCTCGCCTACTAGCCTATTAGATGCAGTTCGCCAGGGTACGTTATATGAGGACCATTGGTACAAAGAACGTCATCGTGATGCGAAAATGTGCCCCTTGAAAACAACCCTCGTAAAAGGTTGTGCTGAGGAGACAACCTCTGCATTTGGTTGTGCTACAGAAACTGATTGTGCCAAAGAAACAACAATCACTAATAATTGCGTTAAGAAGATGACATCTGTAATCGATGGCAGTGCTAAGAGAACAGTAATTTATACTGATTGTGCAAAGAGAACGGATGACGTCAGTGATTGTGCTACCCATACAAAATCTATTATTGATTGTGCTAGGAGATCAACTATTGACAATGATTGTGCTACCGAGACAATCAATGCTAATGATTGTGCTTCGATGAATTCTGCGTTACATATAATCGAGACAGCGACTTCGACAGTGATAAACACTTTATTGAATGGTGAATACAGAGACATTTTGGCGAAACGTAAGGCGCCATCTATTGATAAAACAACAGAGACTAGGAGCTACAGAAGAAAGCATCATTTGTGCTACAAATGTGGGGACGTAACCCATATGTATGTGAACTGTCCGTTGAAACATACTGCCATTAGAGACGTTTAGGTGATATATTATAATCTACGTGACGGCTGAATGAAAAGTCAACATTTGATATTTAGTGATAGATGATGATGAAACAAGTGATGAACTATGATATTTATATTCAACAGTTTTGTGCTGAGCCATGATGAACTATGATGCCATCTATTGTTCTACTTATAGTGCAATGCTGATAGAGGACTGATCATCCGATATTGTGATTTGTAGTAGTGCATTTCTTATACACGGACACTATTTGGATAATCATAATTCATTTTAGCTGCATAATGCGTGATTATATGTATCGATTGTGTATTGTGTAGTTTATATTGCTGTATGACCTGCATAACTATATATTTTTGTAATCTGTTTAATTCATGTTAGGTTAGGAAGATATTGTACATTTTTGATGACATTGTTTTTATTGTAACCTTCAACTTACAGAGTGTGACGCTGTGAGTTCGGGACGAACTCTTTTTCAAAAGAGGGGGTTATGTAATGATCCTGGCATCATTACTTTGTACTTTTATTTGTACATTCATTTTATTTTATATTGAGTTTGTGCATTATCTTTTAGATACTTGTTTCAAATGTTATTTTGTTTATAATGTGATTTTACAAGGACCATCAGTCCTAAAAGTGTTTTTAAGCAGAGAAAAAGCTTAGCCAATGAGAGTCAAGTTAGGGGGATAAGTATTTAATGCATTGACCAATGGTATTAGCTCTAGCTGATTGTTATATTTTGTGAAGTATGTAATATTTTTTAGTGTTAAGGACAGAATGTAGTTTTGAGGCTGGAATAGTGAGCGTGTGAGAAACATGGGAGAAAGGTCCTGGATTGTTAGAATGTAGATTTGAGGCTGAGATAGTGAAGATGAGAGAAACTTAGGAGAAACTAGAATGTAGATTTGAGACTGAGAAAGTGAACATGGGTGAAACATAGGAGAAATTGAATTGCTAGAGTTAAATTTGAGACTGATAAGTGAATATGGGACAAACAAAGGAGAAACCTAATGAATTGCTCGAGTTGGGAAATGAACTTGGAAAACCAGAATTATGGATGGACATTTTAGGATTATAAACAAGACTAGGCTATAATGTAGATTTCAGTCTGATAACCATGGCGTAAGAAATTCTTTACTTAACTTTATCTTTGCAAATCAAAATTCCTTGTTAATACTTTGCATTATTTAGTGAAGTTACTTTGGCATTTTCAGCATTTTTTATTATTTCATTAAGAGTTTTGCGCTTGTAAAACTCTTTTATCTGCCTTGTTTTGAATAAGTGATTGAAGTTCTACATGGGATTTTTGTAAAATTTCTGAGTGTTTGAACTTAAAACTCTCTTGGGATTATCAATCACAGTTCAATCGAATGCAGATATTTTAGAACATTTTAGTTCTTTCAATTACATGTAATTGGTTGTAAGTTTTATTCTAAAGGAATCTTGGGCTATTGTTCAGGATTCTGGGGAGCCGCTTTTTAGTCGGTTACCACAACGCTAAAACTTCTCAATTATATGAGTTACTTTTTGTTTCCAGTTTATAACTGAAATCTCATTGTCTCAGTTCCTTAAGTTCTCAACCTCGTGGTTTTGAGATCTCGGAACCTTGATGCATTTCGAGGGATAAGGTTGTTTCAGTTTAAACTCATTTTTTATACTTCCAACTTTAGTCTTGAATATTCAAGTGGATTTCTGTCAGGCTCTGTAAGGAATATCCTCTATTATTTGGCTCAGAGATCAGTGTGTATCAAGGGATTTCCATGAATTTCTGCTTTTTGAGTGTTCCATTATTTTAAGGTGCTCATGGTCACCGTAGTGTTGATTAATTCAGGTCATCCATATAATTAGAGAACTTTTGTCATGTAAGTGGAGTTAAATGTTGGGAATATGTAGATAACTTTTGTCATGTAAGTGGAGTTAAATGCTGGGAATGAGATAGTTAGTGAGATTGGTGAGATTCTTAATCAGAGTAAGTTCAATAATAAGATCGTTCCTGTTGTGAGTTAACAGTGTCTTATTCGTTCGAACTTCGTGACTCTGATTATGTAAATATTCCTTTGTAAATATACCATTTTATACAGCATATTCTATATATTCAGATTTATATCATTATTAAAATTATATAATCTTAATATCTTTGTCTGTTGTTTTGCGTAAAAGGTGGTCAATTTGATCTAAAGTTTATTTTCAACAGATTGTTTCATCTTCATTTAAGACCCATATATTTAAGGGGTCATATCAAGCTCATTATTGCGATCTGTTGAGAATACTTAGGTGCAAGTTGTGTTAGAGATTTCATTTATATCATTATATATTGCAATCACCCCCTCCCACAGTAAGCAGTATTTCAGTCCCATTTGTCATTTAAAGGTGTCAGCACTTTCCAGTATTATATTATTCCAAATTCCCCTTAATGACCAAGCGAATAATTTGATTAACTCAATTCAAGATCAAGTCAAAGTTTAGTTTCATAATATTCCCGGCCCTAGCCATGCTACCACGTTTTGTTGTTAAGAGAGAGGGCCGGGTTTTATTACACTGAAATTTGATTAACCTTAGGAATTTTTTTAAAAATTTTTGATGTAAGCCTAGGAGCATGCATTCAGTGGCTACGCTAGCTACAATGACAACGCTGCTACATATAGGTTCTGGAGGTAAGCCTAGGACCAGGCATGCAGTGGCGACAACATGCAAGTATACACTGGATATGCAGAGGGTCTTGATGTAAGCCTAAGAGCATGCATTTAGTGGCTAAGCAACTACTTGGGTATAGAGGTAACATAAGGTGCATGCATGCGGTGGCTACGCTAGGTTCACTCGCTAAGCGGCTACAGAGGTTCTGTAGGTAAGTCTAGGAGCAGGCATTCGGTGGCTACTCTAGCTACACTGACTACGATGCTACACAGTGTCTGGATGTAATCTTATGAGCATGCATTCAGTGGCTAGGCTAGCTTCACTGGCTACGCGGCTACACAGGGTCTGGATGTAAGCCTAGGAGCATGCATTCAGTGGCTACGCTAGCTAAACTGGCTACGCGACTACAGAGGGTATAGAACCTTTGGAGGCAGCATGTGGTGGCTACGCTAGCTACACTGGCTACGCCACTACAGAATGTATAGAGGTAACCTAATGAGTATGCATGCGGTGGCTACGCTAGCTACACTCGCTACACGACTACTGAGGGTATAGAAGTAACCTTTGGAGCATGCATGCAGTGGCTACGCTAGCTACACTGTCTACGCCGCTACAAAGGGTCTGGAAGTAAGCTTAGGAGCATGCATTCATTGGCTACGCAAGCTACACTGGCTACGCCACTACAGAGGGTATAAAGGTGGCGGTGGCTACGCTAGCTACACTCGCTACGCGGTTACAGAGGTTCTTAAGGTAAGCCTAGGAGCAGGCATTCGGAGGCTACTCTAGCTACTCTGACTACGCTACTACACAGGGTCTGGATGTAAGTTAGGAGCATGCATTCAGTGGCTACGCTAGCTACACTGGCTACGCCACTACAGAGGGTATACAGGTAAACTAAGGAGCATACTTGCGCTGACTACGCTAGCTAAACTACACTCGCTACGCGGCTACAGAGGTTCTTAAGGTAAGCCTAGGAGCAGGCGTTCGGAGGCTACTCTAGCTACTAGACCACGCTGCTACACAGGGTCTAGATGTAAGCCTAGGAGCATGCATTCAGTTGCTACGGTAGCTACTCTGACTACGCTGCTACACAGGGTCTAGATGTAAGCCTAGGGGCATGCATTCAGTAGCTACGCTAGCTACACTGGCTACGCCACTACAGAGGGTATACAGGTAAACTAAGAGCATGCATGCGGTGTCTACGCTAGCTGCACTCGCTACTTGGCTACAGAGGGTCTTGCTACACTGTCTACGCCGCTACAAAGGGTCTGGAAGTAAGCTTAGAAGCATGCATTCGGTGGCTACACTAGCTACACTGACTACGCTGCTACACAGGGTCTTGATGAAAGCCCAGGAGCATGCATTCGGTGGCGACGCTAGCTACACCGACTACGCTGCTACACAGGGTCTGGATGTAAGCCTAGGAGCAGGCATTCAGTAGCTACGCTAGGTACACTGGCTACACCACTACAGAGGGTATAGAGGTAACCTAAGGAGCATGCATGCGATGGCTACGCTAGCTACACTCGCTACGCGCATACACAGGGTCTGGATGTAAGCCTAGGAGCATGCATTCGGTGGTTACGCTAGCTACACTGACTACGCTGCTACACAGGGTCTGGAGCATGGGAGCATGCATTCAGTGGCTACACTAGCTACATTGGCTATACCACGACGGAGGGTATAGAGGTAACCTAAGGACCATGCATTCAGTTGCTACGCTAGATACACTAGCTACGCGGCTTAACAGGGTCTGAATGTAAGCCCAGGAGCAGGCATTCAGTTGCTACTCTAGCTATAGTGTCTACGCTACTACACAGGGTCTGGATGTAAGCTTATGAGCATCCATTCAGTGGCTACGCTAGCTTCACTGGCTACACGGGTACAGAGCGTAAAGAGGTAACCTAAGGAGCATGCATGAGGTGGCTACGCTAGTTACACTCGCTACGCGGCTACAGAGGTTCTGAGGTAAGCCTACGAGCAGGCGTTCGGAGGCTACTCTAGCTACTAGACTACGCTGCTACACAGGGTCTAGATGTAAGCCTAGGAGGTAACCTAATGAGTATGCTCTGACTACGCTACTACACAGGGTCTGGATGTAAGCCTAGGAGCATGCATTTAGCGGCTACGCTAGCTACACTGACTACGCTGCTAAACAGGGTCTGGACGTAAGCCTAGGAGCAGGCATTCAGTGGCTACGCTAGCTACACTGACTACGCTGCTAAACAGGGTCTGGACGTAAGCCTAGGAGCAGGCATTTAGTGGCTACGCTAGCTATACTGACTACGCTGCTATGGTGGTACACAGGGTCTGGATGTAAGCCTAGGTTCATGCATTCAGTGGCTACGCTAGCTACACTTGCTATGCGGCTATAGAGGGTATAGAGGTAACCTTAGGTGAATGCATGCTGTGCCTCCGCTAGCTACACTCGCTACGCGACTACAGAGGGTATAGAACCTTTGGAGGCAGCATACAATCCCCTCCATAAGTTTGGCAACCTTTTTTCCCCATTGAACTACGTGTTAAAGCCTCTTTACCTTTGAATTTTTATTTACTTAACCTGCAATGAAAATACTTATTCTATTGATGGAAACGTAATTTGACAATAATTCCAATACCTCCAAATTTTCTCAATTTTTTTCCTCAATTACAATAGGTCGAAAATTGATGATAAATTTGATGAATTTTTGAAAATCGACATTTCCATGTTAACCAATGGGAAATGGTAGGTTTGCCGCAAGTCATATGACAGAATATCCATCCATCCGAGTCCTTGCAAAAAATACGAGTTAGGCAGGCAATTGAATTGCTAACTTTATTTAACAAAAAAATGATATGTTTCTTCAGGTTCAACAAAGTTATAGGGCTTTAAGTCAAAATTGTTTTTCAAAAAACCTCTCCCATTGAAATAACAC